GTTCGGGTCCATAGACAGTGACAATAGCCATAAAAAGACTTGCTTTCGCTATGGCTCCGGTGGATAATTTCCCTTAACCAAGCCACTGCCAGTCTGCCACTGATGGGCAACTATTGCACACGGTTCGAAGGACACTTCAGTAAGCCTGTGCAAATCAGATTGAAGTTTTGACCCCTATACCTTTTGGTGATGCCAGAAGTCGTTTTGATATACAATTTTACCTTGTGACTATTTTATTTCTTATTATTGGGGCGACCGTTTGAGTCACCGGATGAACTGCTCATTCGTACAATCAATATGTCAAATAAATGAGACATTGTAAAAGTCCACAACGAGACTGACACGACTTATTCAACGCCGTTGAAGATACTCGTAGTGAAGAACTCGCTGCGAAGACTCAAGCTCGACGTGAAAGGGGATCACTGGGAATAGCCAGCCCTTGGTTGAACCTCGACCGTGGCTCTGATACGCAGCTGAACGGAATACTCGTGAGCATGAGATGTTGGTGGGTGGGATAATTGCCTGCACGTGTTCGGCAAGGCCGATCCGCTACAAGATTGTACAATGACGTCGAAAATCGTATGTGCCAGAACATTGAGGAAACCAGGCCACGAAGTGGAAAAACAACATCAGAAGCGCACTGCGTACTCAATTCAACCCAGACAGCGTATGGTGTCGGTTGGGCTTTACCAGACAGAAAAGGATGGTGCTGCCAGGCAAATCATGCGGCTGGATGGTTTGACAGGAATTCGCATGTGGTGGAAGTCTGCATCGGCAAAAGGAGCCGCAAAGGGGATTGGCGGTTTAACAAACAAAAAGACTTGTTATCAGTTACTTTAGTTGTCAACATCGATCAACATGGAGGCAGTGGATGCACAACATCGAAGTCGTACTAATAAGAACAGTGAGAGGGGCATCTTGGAACCTCTCCCCGCAACAATCCTCACAGAAGGAAGCAAATGCGGGCTTCTACCACTGTACGCCTCCCACTGAAAGTTCTGCAGAAGAATCAGAAGGTCCCTCAAAGGTTTGACTATCTTGCCAAATGGAACATCTCAGGGCCTGTTTATGATGCGGTGACTGTAGTTTCCCTATTTAAGCTTTTGATCCTTACGTGGTGTGGTGTGGAAAATAGGCCCTTCTGATTTTAATTTTAGTTTTGGTCTGGAGACTACCCCGGTTTGCCACTATCGGTCGTGGTTTAAACCAGCGTCCGGTGTGGCTGTGATATTGGGGGCCTGAGGTATTCGGTGGCTCTGAGAGGTATTTTCGATACGTCGTGCATGATCCAGTCCTTGAACAGCTTCTCGGGGGTACTCTATTAGCATTTCCAGTTCCTCGGGCTAGACCTCTTTGTGAACAACACCCCTGCAATGGTGACTGCCGCGGAGTTCAGCTACGTCAATGCGTCCGGGACAGCTGCCTTGACAGATGTACACGTGCGATGGCCCTCAGGACTCAGGACTTACTCCTAAGGACAGGAGCGGCGGTTCACTGATTGTCATCATCTTCTGAGAACTAAGAGGCTGAGCTTCCCGCTTCGCGAGCACAATTGCCATAATCAGTTTCAATCCGTGGCGCCATACCAGACAGCCTTGCCAGCTTTACAATTGGCGTATTCATGAAGACTGACGGATGTCTGTGATGACCAGTTGTGCAGCAGCTTTGTGTTCCTCGACGGAGTAATCGACTCTCCGTCATTGAGCGATTGCGACGAGATGCACAACAATTGTATAGCGCTCACCCTTGTGTCTTTCTGTGTGGCTTCTCAATTTACAGTTCTTTGTTTGTTTGTTTGTTTGTTTGTTTGTTCGTTTGTTTGTTTGTTTGTTTGTTCTCTGAGAGGTGATGTATAATTGCTCACATCACCATGCTTCTGATATTACTATATGAACTGGTTGGAACGGACTGCTTCCGGAAGATAAGTCTTCGAGGACTTGTATATGCTCCTGCTGCTGCTGCTGCTCTTTCGATTCTTTGCGTAGTCAGTTTCAGTTGCCTCGTGTTGGGGATGGACAGAGATCTGTCTTATTAGTACAAGTGAACCCGGCGTGGCAAGGCCGTGGCCCAGCGCCAGCCCCACCCCAGGCACGGCCATTATCTGGCCAGGGCAACATTGAGGGTGGTTTTTTTTTTTTTTTTTTTTTTTTTTTGTTGTTGTTATTTTTTTTTTTATTGTTGTTGTTGTTGTTGTTGTTTTAAGCCGCGTGGGTCTTGCAGTTTTCTTGGTGAGGAAGACCAAGTTATCAACATGCCGACGGATCATATGTAAGTCAGAACTTTTATTGTGGTCGCCGCTGAATTCGAACTCACGTCTGCAATTCAACAGTTTCATGTGTGCATCAACTGAGCAGCCTGCCAATGTGGGAAGACACACCGCGGCGGACAGCAATCTGTCACCGCGTGTGTCGGACAGCA